CAAGAAACATCTTTGCAAATAAAACAGCAGCTACTTTCACTACTGCAACAACACATATCTTAACAAATGGATCAACAGCTATTATCCCCTCTGCAACAACAAACATCTTTACGAAAAAAACATCAGATATTGCGAAACACAATGGCAGTTATAAAAGTGGGAAAGACAATGGAGGTTTTGTATTTTATCTTGCAAATTAACACACAAAATTTTTAATGCTCATCATAAATTTCGGCACTTTGCCTTCTTTTCTTTTTATATAAAATTGTCCTGTTTTCCTATAACAACGAAATAGAAAATCTTGCAGGAACGGTTTGTTTGAGTCTGTTAATGGGTCGGTAGTGGTAGGCACAAGGTACCGTCAGCGTTCCCTAGCAATGCTTAAGAATGATTCAAATTTTAAACATAAAAATGGTAAAATAAGATGGGTACATGTCCAGAAAACCTGAAAATAGATGTTAGAAACCTTTATCATAGTAACATCAAAATAAAAAGATACCCTTGTTAAAATGCCTTGTTATACATGTATTTCAAAATATATAATAAGTGGTTAACATAATACGTTGATGATAAACATGAAAGTTTCAAATTGCATATAAATAATTTCTGATCATCTATAAATGTATTTTTCAGAGTCTTTACATTGGCTTATCATCCTTCCTTATGGTAGTTGTCTAACAATTTTGATATTTGCCATTTTTGGAATAACTTGTGTTATATTTCTTTGGTGTCAACGTCGATGGAAAGCACATGTAAGTTTTTATAAAGCCACGGAAATCTTACTGTAAACTAAGTTATCATACAATGTTGTTAATGATAGTACTGCCTTAAAGTAAGTAATTTAATGCGCATACCACAGTATATACGTGTATTTTCATAATTTGTATATTTTATATTGTCAAACAAGAGATGCCGCTTTGTAGTCTTTTGGACACAACTCATACTTTTCATGTTGGACATTTTACTCCCCAAAAGTAAGCCGCAAAATAAAGGCAAGAATAAATGGGGCATACCTGCTTAACATTTTTGTCTCATTTTCTTTTACACTAGTCTTTATAACAAATAATTTAATTTTTTTTTAGAAAAAAATCCAAAGAAAAAATTGCAATAGAAAAAGATGTAACAAACATAATGATGATGACGGATCATATTTGGAAATTGGGTCTGTTTCCTTTAATGAAACAGATTTTTACAAATCAGACATCAATTCTGGTACGGGAGGACAAAAACCATCTGTTCCTTTAAACAATAGTGTTTCTGGCGGTAAGTTATATAGTCATGTGACTGAAAATAACATGGAGAGAAGAAGTAAGCAAAACAAAGATGAAGAATCTCGTCAGCATAGAGCTACAAGTGATTACACTTCTCAATCAGTCAGTTATACTTATCAACTCACTGCAGCGTCAATAATTGAACGGAAATCAAAAAAGGAACGAAAAAGCTTAAAAGAAACATTTAACGGAGATGTAAATATTCGACGAGATAGGGAGCAATGTTATTCAATGCCTGGGCCTAATGGAAGTTTGAGATCAAAGAGGAGTTTCGATAAAGTTGCTGCATTGTACAAAGAAACAACACCTTCGTCCACAATCAGTTCAGGCTCTGCTTTTCTTGATGTGATTTGATTGAAGTATATCAGAATTAATTAATTAAGAGAACTCATTGACATCTAAAGTCAATGCAACTAACAAAATATTTATATAGGTATATCTAAGATCAGAAACATAAAAGCGCAAGAACTATTTCTTAGAAGTGATTATACAAAAACGGGAACACTTAACACTTGACTTGTGTTTTTTTCCAAAATGCTTTCTATTAACAATTTCATTCTTAAATTATTTGTACCTTCAGTGTTTCATCATTTAATTGGTAACTCTTTTATTGTATCATACATGTGAGAGCTTCTCATCAGGCAATGTGTTTGGGTTAAATGATAAAACCAATACAGACAGTGCGTTAAATTGCGAAAAGATATACCACACTGCTTGTCGAGTACAAAAAATTAAACAGAAAGTGAATATTATAAAATTAATTTAATTTGAAATTTTCATATTTTAAGTCTATATGCGCGACACGGCATTTTTAATGAAGTTATAAATAAAGAAGTTGGCAATTTCTAATGTTAATCCAATAAGAGGACAGGGAAATGCCTATTGTGTTAAATAATAAGGATAAGATTTGTATAACAAACATACCTTGAATTTCATTGACACATCAAAGCTACATTATACACTTTGTACATTATTACTATCATTTATTAACATTTTCGTTTCATTGTTGAATGTCTTATCAGTAGCATAATGCCAGACCTGCATTGCAAGTTGATTGAGCTTTATAATGCATGTGGTCAATAGAAATAATTTTTAATCAGCTTTTCAGGGTTAGTGCGTTCACATATATAGTATTCGCTTCGAAATATTGGTTGAATTAGGGGAACTAGTTAACGACGTGTATATGAGTATATTTGAGTTGTTGAGATAAAACTATGTTCTCAATTAATAAGCGACGTGCCATTTGCTTGCATACCAAATTAGTTGCACAGGTATTTGTTTCGTTTAAATGTTTTTAGAGTTACAAAATACTGATAAATTGTTCTACAGTGCGAATTGACATATGTATAGAGAAACACAAATATGACAAATAAAATGAAATGGTTTTCATATATACAATCTTGGCTAGCTTCCAAGTTAATTCTTCATTACATCAATCACATGGCAATCAAATTCAATGAAATATTAAAAACCATGGAAATATGTTTCTGTCAAGCTGACACGCTGTTATCACCCCAGGCATTTTTGTTTGTTTTTAAGTTAGTTATCTTCCTGAAAAAAATGTGACTTTTAATTGGGTATGTAAAAATCGTACACGTTTAGAATTAAGTTAAAAATTTACGGTGATATAAGCTGTGTTGTATAAACAATAAGTGTTATTCTAATCAAATTATGACCAGAAAACGACAAATTGTACATGCTTTGAAATAACTTTAAAATTTAAGGTGATAAAAACTGTCTTAAATAAACAAAGATGTGTTATTCTAAATACAAATTATGATCAGCAAACGGATAAAAAATCTCATTCTTCCTATTATTTTACTTTCATGCCTTAGAGGTAAAGTCGAATTCAATTCTTATACAAATGTGCTTTTTGCACAAAGAAAACATATTGTGCTTCTTCAAGACCTGAAAGGTAATGGTACTAATTATAAATCGTGCGAAGTTGAACGCCAAAATAACCTAGATCACGACAAAGAACTATCTAGATTAACTAACGGGATCTTCTGGTCAGACTATGCTGAGTTATTGGTTCCGAAAGGTAAGTTATTCAAATATACAGGTATTCTAAAACACTTTGATATTCGAATGCTTTTAATGTTATATATTTTTTTAAGTATTTAAGAAGATAACAAAATCTATATTGGAGAGACAATTCCTCGTATAAATCAAATATCTACATGTTGTTTATTAATTTATTAATACATGGTTTACAATAATAAAATTCTTGATGTTCTTTTCCAAATACACTTATTCAATTAAGGTTAGGTAAACAAATACAGGAATTAGAACTATTTGGAACTCATTTATAATGTTTATGTAAGATATGTTGTGAAATACTGAAATATATGTATAATTATGCTTAATAATATTATATTATTTTTGACTTTTCTTTTATCATATTCAAATAGATTGTACGTTCTATTATTTTCATTGTATGAGAAGTTAAATACTTTTAAAAATATGTAAAATTGTAAAACAATTTAAGAATTGTCGTTCAATGAAAGCATGCAGCTAATTCAGAAGTTACGTACTCAGCGTGTTAAAAGCATTCGTAGAGCTAGCCAGAGTGTTTGTGGCAGTGGACGGAATGGTAAAGTACAACTTGCAGACGACATCCAAATGTGTGCACGAAATGAAAAGTATAAACTCTCAGTATACGGTATGATAATTCTGCCATCCAAAAAGATACTACATTAAAAGATCATTTCTGTTTCTTTAACTTTCTATTAATTCTATATATTGAAATTATTAAGTTGTTGTTGACTTTTTTTTACAATTTCGTATCTCAGTCAACATGTTCAAAACGAAAGCTGTAAATAGAGATGACCCAGAGTAATAGTTTTCGTGAAACATTCTAATGTTTTTTGTTGTTGTTTTTGTTTTCTACTCAATATTCAAATTTGATGCTGTTGTAAAAATATTTGTTAACAAATTGAAATGTACGGAAATTTACTAGTAATATACTAATATTTACGTAAACTAAACACTTATTGCTGGAACTATTTTCATGAAGCGGAAGCTTTGACTTTTTACCTATCCCGCTTATTGCGCATGGATAACGTTCCAGAAGTCATCCTAGCAACAGCAAATAGCTCATCAGCAAGATGGAATGATTTGGACATTAGTAAATTGAACTGGAAAGACAATCAAACTTTAGCGTTGATAAAATGGCTCGATAACGCTCGGTAAAACTTGTTTTATTTAGTATCTGAAAGTAATTAGCATTGCCTAAGTTGTAAGTATCCAAGGTCATCCAGCTCATCTAAATTGCCAGGCCTAATTCTTTACTTTTTTGATATTTTAATTTTGATGAAGTATTTTTAGCTGACAATTTCTAATTTAAAAAAAATTGAAACAAAATATATATTACCACTAAATTGAATCGTTATATAAGCGTTTGTAAAATTGCACTTCAATTTAGCCGACTATATATTGCAAGACAATGTCTAGAAATGTTATTTCGACATATCTTGAATATCTTTACAAAGTATAAGGTAACTTGTAATGCTTGACTTTTTTTAAGTTTAATAACAAAAGCCGACCTCAACATTTTTGTATAGAATATATTTCAAATAATTAAATGTATATAGGTAATAAATGCTTATAATGTATGTCTTATATAGTAAACTAACATCAGAGTGAAAAATGAATTCCTTTTTTATTTGCCTGCGGCAAAAATATTTTTTTTCTCAAAGAAATGTATTTTTTTTTCACTGTAGTTTGGAAACTTTTATGCCTCCAGTCATAACAAACGCTTACAAAACAGGAAACCCAGTGACAAGCAATATTATTACACAATATACAAAACCACTTCTAAGTAAACCTCATGCTGTGGCGGAGCTTATACAGTGGGGAACTATCATTGTCTTTGACAATTTAATAGGCCATTATGATAGGTAAATAGTGTTTCAAATAAAAAAGTATATAAATATGTCAATAGAAATTTTGGAAAAATAGCAAGCAAAATGACTGACTTTTGAAATAACATCATCCTATATACAACTAATTTCAATGTTGATAATCTGAATCAATGATTGCAAAATCAAAAATTAAAACAATATATAAATGTTATAATAACAATAATCATCATCAAAATTTAATTAACTAGAATTGTGTCCAAAGGACATGGATACCCCCACTGTGCAAATGTGCTCGTAATCAAGAGCATGCATATATGTATGTAAGATTTATAGGTGGAACTTTTAATTAAAATCTGCCATCCGGTTTAAAAGGAGCTGCGTTCACAAAATTTCCAAATGGTAAATAGTGAAAAAATCAACAAAGGGCCATAATTCTGTTTAATTTGATCGCAGCAAAAATTCCTACCTTTACTTCCGTCTACACATTAAGGTTGTTCATCCCTGGAAGTTTAAGCAAAATCTGCCATCCGTTTTAAGAGGAGTTGCGTTCAAAAAATATGCCATCCGGTTTAAGAGAAGTTGCGTACACAAACTTTCTTCATAGCATATAGTGAAAAAACAACAACAAAGGGCCATAATTCTCTTAAATTTGGTCGCAGCAAAAATTCCTTCCTTTACTACCATCTACACATTAAGATTGTTCATCCCTGGAAGTTTAAGCAAAATCTGCCATCCGTTTTAAGAGGAGTTGCGTTCAAAAGATTTCGGGATGTACGGACGGACCTACGGACGGACAGACGTACGGAGGTACCAATTTTTCAGGTTTATGAGCTATTTCTATTGTTCTTTTCTTTTGTTTCCTTGTGGGCTAACTATTGTTTCCTTATGAGCTAACTATTATTTACGGAATGAAGTCCTTTGTTCTCTTTTGTCCCAGTGCACCGTTAGTTAGCTCATATACCTACAATGTTTGTGCGGACAGACGTACGGACGGACGGACAAGAGCAACGCTATATGCTTTTCACTTTGTGGGGGCATAAAAACCCATCAAATTTCAGTTTTTACATTTTTGTATATAATAACATATTACAACATTATCATTACAATATCTGTAAAATAAAACAATTAAATATATATATGGTGTTGGATAATTGTTATAGTTTAGGATGTGGTGCCATAAATACACAAACGTAAGTTTTGTTTCTATTTCAGACTTGTATTGTACCAATCAATCGGACCACTAGGTAACAGTAGGCGGAGCTTAGAAAGAGGATTATATAACAGCCTGAAATCACCAAACGGCAAACTATGGTTGATTGACAACGAATCTGCTTTCTTTTATCAATCAAAGTATCAAGGCCCAATTTATAAATACACTCAATTACTTAAATTTAATGACCGAATGTTACAGACAGTGTGTATTTTTCAATCATCTCTCGTTGCTGAGCTACGAAGACTTTCCAGACAGCCCTCGGCCTTTCATTACCTATTTGACTTTGCAGGTTCATATGAACCTCTGCTTGCAAATGTAATATTGGATCCTCGCTTTGAGTTGTTTGCTAAGATTTTTAATACTAGGCTCGGTCAAATACTAGAATGGGTTGAACATTGCCAAACTTTATACAATGCAACTTGATTGGATGAGAACAGCAAAAGGAATTAGCCCTAAAATGTCGGTTGGAAGAAGCGCACAGTATTATTGTTGCAATATAGATGTCATTTGATCGATCTACATATCATGAAAATGTATTAAAGGTTAATGTTAGAACATTTACCTGTTACAGTGCTTGCTTTTTTAAGTTGTAACCCATTTTTACGTGCAATGTTAAAAATTAACAATGTTCAAATTAATCGGAAAAGATTGCAACTCGTGTTTAATTCGATAAATGATTGTCTTAAGGCAAATGTGATTATTTAATACGTGATTTAAAACCAAACCATAGTTTTATTGATACACTTTTTGGGTTATAATTGTGAAAATGGATTGCCCTGTGAAAATTGTTTTAATAGTTAATATTTAAATTAAATATTTGTATATGATTTGTATGCATTTTTCTCAAGAAAGTTGCTTGAATTTCCTGCTTCGCTTTTAGGATTTAATGCCATTTTTATCATGCTGCTAGTTTTATAAGGAAAACTATTTTGTCAGCAAAGTAACAAATTAAGGTATGTCGTATTGTTACAGAAGTTTTTATTTCTTTTTAACTCGTTACTAGTACATTTGTACTTTGTTTGGACTTTTATACGGAAGCGTACTGGTGCCAATTGAACATGCTCTATAAAAAAGATTACTCCTACGTAGGACTTTATAACTCCTACGTAGGACTTTATAACTCCTACGTAGGACTTTATAACTCCTACGTAGGACTTTGTAACTCCTACGTAGGAGATATGAAAACCTAATTAGGAGTTTTAAAGTTCTAAGTAGGACTTACAAACTCCTACGTAGGACTTTATAACTCCTTTTCCGTACTTTAAAGATTGTCATATATGAAGCAGAACGGGATTGACGTTTCCTGATCCATGTCAATTATTTCTGTTTTGGCAGTTTCATTGTAAGCATTACGCTCCCTCTGACATAAAAGTAGCCACTGAAACAGGCAGGAATTATCTTAATAAGATAAAACTTATAAGCCTGTAATAGGTTTATTAATGTATATTATAAGAAGAAGTTTCTTACAATTATATATTGGACACGTGTTATCAAAGTCATTAAATAACATATGTCCGTGACCACTTAATCCACTGAATGGCTTGAAGATAGCATTTCTGTAACTTTGTCTTCTTATTTCTCTCTATTTGGGTAATAAATAACAGCTCTATGTAATATAAAGATAAAAATGAAATACATGCATTGTTATTTTTGTGAATATTTTTTAAATTTAATTGAAAAGAAAACAGAAAATCCTGACATCTGATGACATGCATATCATTAGATATCATATAGGTAGCCAGGAACACACTCAAGCTTTCATCAAGTATCAAAAAAAGTCATAGAGGTCAGAATATTAAATATTTTGTTTTATTTTTAGACGGTACTTTAACATGTATTCTAAGGGTAGGACTTTTAAGTACAATACCAATTAAAACTAAGATGTACAAGCAAATATTTATGTGTGAAGGTTACTATTTCTTGAATTCGTAAACTTTAAGTCTGGATGTAAGGGATAGGACATGTTCTATTTTGAAAATCTTGTCGTACAGATTTCTACAGAACTCCCACAATGACAAGTAACAGATTACCAAATTATCTCCTGATAATGGGTGTAATGAATGAAATTCGAGAATAATTAGGGCAAAAAGGTAAACATAGTAGAAAGATGGGGTAAAATGATGTTGAAAAACTATCCTGGAGACCCAACATTGTGGTATGTTCGAATCCCAAATTGTTCCGAAAATGTTTATGTCACGCTATTGAACTGTTCTCTAATCAGGGGAGGTACTTTCTAGGCGGCCGGATAGCTCAGTCAGTAGAACCGTATTACGGTATTCCGAGGGTCCAAAGTTTGAGTCTCGGTCAGGCTGCACATTAAAAATATTTTTTTTTAACAATTTAAAAAAATGGAGTCGTTTGTCGTTTCAATCATTACTGATGGAGAAAAAATATTTAGTGAGTAAAGTATGTAAGGGGTCAATTGGGAGGGAACCCTTAGATGATTCCTACAATGCAGAATTATGGTCTGAATGCAAGTGTTGTATTGCTTCGAAAATTGTACATCTTATCTCTAATTAGTGTTGTACAACTAAATCCTACCGTCTGTTGAGGCCTTAACTTATCAAATCTGCCGGCCTAGCACAATAAAGAGAGTATGATTATTATTTGAAATACAGAGGTCGCTGGTTAAATTCTGTGGCGAGTCGAAGTTTCTCCGAGACAAATGATCTCTGTCAAATGTCTGTCATTGCTGATCCATAAATCATAAGGGTCATTTGCAAAATTAATAATAACTGGTTTGTTATTAAGGAAAGCCGGTAAAGTCAGCTGACCACCGAGATGTGATAAAATATGTGCTAAAATTGGCGTACAAAACATTCCAACTAATAATCAAGCCCACTCTGACGTACACTTGTAAAACTGTGACGCTCCTCGTAGGCGTGTTTTTAATCAGCTGCTAATGCATAACCATCTTTATTGTTCAAGATGACACGTTAAGAAATCTTTAAACCGTTACTAAAGTTAAATATGTTACATCAGCAAGCAATAAAAGTTATCAATCTAATACACCAGGTCTGTAACATATGACTGGATTTTCTTTTTATATTTCGCTTTTTCATTGGATTTATTCTAAGAGGAAAGATGAAACAAAGGTGTGGCGACTGACAGAACGTGAGGATGTTGCGTTTATGACATTGAAAAGGAAGACCAACAGTAATGATTTGGAGGTTGAAGCGGCTGTTTATACCGTCCTTTTGCCTCATTGTCTTTTCTTTTACTACATCTGAAAGAAAGACCAATTTTGAACGACATTCGTTATTTACATTTAAATCGTCTGGTGAAGAACTGCACAAATATAAACGAGCACCGCTCAGTGTTTCTGCAGAACTTGAAACTCCTAAACATGAAAACAGAGATCAAGATTTAATAAAAGACGGGATATTTTGGTCTGACTATGCAGAATCGTTCGTGCCAAAAGGTAAGAAAGTTTTGTTATTTACAAGACGTACAAATTCCCTCAGCTGATTAAAAAAGGTAAAAAGTTAATGAAATTCTCGGGGAAAATATCGCGATTTAAGTTTAAAAGTACTTAATTGTTCTTTAATAAAATATTGCTAAGGAAGGAGCATTGCAACAGGAAGGCAGAGTGAGGACTGTTTATTTGCATAATTTAGTACAATAATATGTTTTATAAATCCAATAAACACCTGGTAAGTCAGTATTTCGCCACTTAAAAAAATAAGAAAATAAAAAATAATAAAAGTATGGCGGTTGCGTCCTAGCCCCGGCTAACGCAGAATTCGACATCTAAACATGATAAAGGTGACGTTTTGAATTAAGAAAAATAAAATAATAATTAAAATAATTTTATTCAAATTATGGCGGTTGCGTCCACGCTGCCTAGCACCGGCTTACGCAGAATTCGACATTTAAACATGATAAAGGTGACATTTTGAATTAAAAACTTGGGTGTTGCAGGCTTGGTTTGAGTCGTCTTTTCATAGTTAGCTAGACCTAAAGTTGACCTGACGTCCTAGGACATAGGATACATTTGTAATTGACATTTTGTAGTGGAAATTATACATTGATTTTTTTAATTGGATATGCAATAAAAGTTCCCATTTATTTAATGCAATTTTGTTAATCCGCATTTAATTGAAAACTTAAAAATAAATACCGTAATTCTGCTTCTGATTGTTTGAGATTGTATATGAAGATTGAAAATAACATTAACATAGCGATATTGGTTTGCCTTTACTAAAACCCCGAAACTTTTCAAATCATATTTCTAAAATGTAAGATCATTTTTAATTGATATGTGAAACCTGGCCGAATGGCATCAGGAGCAAGCTGTTGTTTCATTGAGCAAGAAACTTTACATTCATTGCATAGTACAGGTTAGTCCAAGGAACGGATTCGAGAGTGTTTCAATAAGTTTACAGCCTCTAACACAATCGAACTAAAATAAATTCGTATAAAATAAACGTTGTATTCGTTAATTGAAATGTCCTTTTTTCTTATTTCCATAAATTTTAATACTTGTTTAATTTCAAATCATTTAAAGAAAAAAAGCAACATGGCACATAGTAAAAAGGTCATATTTGTAACATTCTGCCCATTAAACTTTTAACCTTAAGTGACATACATTGTAATTTAACGATTAAAGCCACGTTACGCTTCAGAAATCATTATTTAGATTGTTTCTGCTACAGAAAGGGAAAACGTTTGTTTTAAAAGATGTTATTTAAGTTTGAAGAATTGATTGCTTATCACCTGAGGTTGACTGATGAGTAATTCTTGTAACTTGTAATAGGACATAAAAAAAGATAAGCTTTTGCAAAATAAAAAATAGCGATTATAAGGCTTGATGGGCATTTAAATCATGTTATAATATTTAACATTGTTAAATCTGTCACAAAGACCCATAGATTTTTTCTGTCGCAAGATTAAGAGATATTGACTGCAAAACGAATTTAGACATAATAGGAATCTCTGTTAAATATGTTTCAGTCATTCGTGTGTAAAATAACAAAATGACCCTTTGCTATCTTTTTCAACTATTTAAAGTTACATTTAATAAAATTCATAAAAACAGAAATAGCGACATTTCATTAATAAATTGGGTTTCATATCGACTCCAGATCTTATTTTGGTGTCCAGACAACCAAAATGAGTTTTATAAGCATAAAAATGGACAACCTCATTGTGGCGAATTCGGAAGTTCAATATCTGTTTGCATGGGAAACTCCGCCTTCAGATCATCCGTACATCAATATTAAATCAACAAACATGACTATAAGTAGCAGTTCTAATTTAACGGTATATTTCCGCATTGTAACGGATGTTTTCATACAAATTCAATCTGTTTTTATGAGATGATTACATTTTACTGAACCTCGGGCCTAATGCACCGTGAAGTTAAACGGTTAAAATGTGTTTGCACAAGAAAATGTCACATTTGAGCTGCTATTACACTGTGACGTAGCGCATACACAAGCTGATTATAATCTTCATTTGCATGTTAAAATTCGTATACGAACTTTAGTGTTACCGTGGGGTTTTCCGTTTAAAATCCTAATTTATGAACAATATTTGATGATATTTACAACAATACTGTTAAACAGGTTAATGATACTGTAAAATGCTTGATTTTAAGGTCGACGGCAAAATATTTTTACATATTTATTGAATGTAACTTTAAGCATAAATCGGTACATGCATAACGAGACACTTTTTTCATTTGACGTCTCATACAATGCCATAGACACACTTAGATCAATTAAAGATACACTTCTCGAGTAACTTTCAGTGTTAAATATGCATATATTTTTTTCTCGGAAGTATACTTGTTCACAATATTCGGATGTATAGATGGTCAGTCAGAAAGCACAATTGTAAACCTGATTTTAAATTGATAAAAATATCGTTGCTTTGACCGGGAATAGGAGCTTTAAGCGGAATATTTAACAAATGCATTAGTCAGGAATCTAAGATTTCAAAAACGTCGTTGCATTGCAATTAGTAAATAAGCCGACTTTAAGCGTTTGTTCAGATAATTAAACTGTTGCTAGTCAAAGTTAAAGCGTTGTGTTTAAATATGTTTTTGTTGCTGCATTAGTCAGGCGCTTAACTTTAACTTTGTGTGTAATAACAAAAATGTCGCTGCACTGTACAAAACCACACTTTACTGCGGGATATTAAATTAAAATGAGTTTTTTCAAAGCTTCTTGAATCTGATGGCATATTTAACAATTGTACTTGAACTGATAAACAAAAAGATCGAAGGTGCATGAACCGATGGTAAAAAGAACAAAGTGCTTGAACTGATAAAAGAAATAACTCATGTGTTTGGATTGATGGAAAAGGGAACAGTAATGGCAAATTGAACGAAGGATGATGGATCGGAGGTACATGAACTTAACGCTAATGGAACGATTTTACCAGATTGAAAAAATAAAACCCGACTGTACATTTACTGATGACAAATAGATCGCAAATTGCAAGTTGTATAGATTAATGGCAAAAAGATATCATGAATTTAATTAATACGGAATTAATTCAGATAAATTAGACTAAGATAATATTGTTCATATTTTTAAAACTTTGTTCATAAAATCTGATATTTAATACTCTTTCTGTAATTTCAAGGAATACCACACAGCGATAGTATGGAATTAGTTAAGAAGTTTCGACATCAACAAGTAAAGAATATTACAAATGCAAGACAGTCTGTATGTGGCAGCGGAAAGAATGGCATTGTTGAACTTGAAGACGGTACTTCTATGTGTGCCAGATACGAAAAGAACCAATATCTTATATTTGGTAATTCAAGATACACAATAGACTACCCAAAAATAGAAGAAATCATTAATTTTGCTCTGAAAGAATGATTTAATACCTTCAATAATATTGCAATTTCTACTGAATACAATTTATTTTGCTCAATAAAAATATATATGTTTTCATAATGATGCCAAATATTCAGTCTTATATTTGTTAGAAAGTTAAAGATATGCATGTATTATGTTTAAATTTTATATTTGAAAATTCTGATTATTTATATACAGTTTCTTTTTTTAACTTATTTGAGTACACACATAGAAGATATGTTTTAAACACTACACACTATAGGCAAACTCAGTATGAATACATAGTGTAATTAAGAAATACCACAATTAAACTGACTTGTTAAGTGTATAAGAAATGCAGCTTTCCAAACCTAGTTTGTGCATTCTCTTATTCATATTAGACATATTCAGTAAGAATTTCCTACATTTTAATAATTTTTTGCAATAAAAGTATAAAGATGAATAAAAACATAAAGATGAGCATTGCAGTATAAGAATCTTACACTGGCTGCCGTACAGACTGTAATATCTAGCTCGAGGGTAGCTGTTTACGGCGGTAACGAGGCTCTGTCGAATTCCCGCTAAAAGGTTGCTCGTATTCCTGTCTGTACCGACAGCCAGTGTTTGATTTTTCTTCTTGCATATTACATGTCAATTATTTTCGGAACAGAAATTTAGAAAACTGATATTCTCATTACGCACTTTTTTCTTATAGTAGCATATGAACTTACAACTTCATTTATAAATGTAAAATGACGTCTTCCTAAGAACGCAATTCATTCATAATTCATTCATAATGCGGCAATGACGTCAATTAAAGCACGTGACTTGTCTTACATGGGGAGTATAAGACAGGTTTTTCTAGCACCGGTGTAAACGGAAGACAATCCTGTCTGACATGTAAGAAATCTATATCTTTGACACAGAATCCTTGAAGCAAAACAATCAGATCGGGTTTATTCTATTACCTTATGACTTGAATATGAATATTTCAAGTTTGCAGGGAAGGAATTCATATTTCGTTCAAGATTAAATCGTGATAGCTGTCACAAGAACTTAAAAAGAAATACGAATTCATGTTTCAATATGTTGCTTTGCAAAATATAAATGAGTATTATTTTTTTCTAACAAATAGTTTAATTAATCTTTATAATCATGAAACGAGGTTCACATGTTAAGAAATTATCTTTTCTTTTACATAGCGGAAGCATTGGCGTTTTACCTGTCCCGCTTGTTGGGCATGGACAACGTACCAGAGATAGTTCTTTCAAAAACTGATGAATCCTCGGATCAGTGGAAAGGTTCGGACTTTCAAAAACTAAATTGGAAAGAAAATGTTGAAGTTGCCCTTATCAAATGGCTCCAAAACGCAAGGTAGAACTTAAAACAGGATAATTGTTTTACTCGGACTCCCAAAAAATCTCTATCCCATTGTTAGGCTTAAACCAGACAGTAAAACTTTAAACGTTTTGAAAAATTGAAAAAAGCACTAAAACCAACATTTGGATATATTATTACATTATTTTATGATATTGTGACGATTTATTAGGATTAAAACATAGTTCACCTCCGAGTCGACGGGATGTTTACAAAAAAAAACCCAAAAACACAAAACAAGCCGATTGGGAGCATTTTGCAGGTCCACCATGACGTAGTATCCTCACATTATATATGATGTGTCTATGATTTGGTTATTAGATAAAAGTTCAATTTTTCGATCTATATTCTATTATGTCATTTTTAGTGAATCTCATATTAGTGTACCGTAAAATAGACGTTTCTTTATGTACATTGATTACATTTTCGTTAATGAATATTTTCTACATGCAATTCTTTAACATTTCGATTGTTTATTTTTTTGTTTTTCTTAAGGCTTTCAAATTCATACTCTGATAGTTTATATTCTAGAAATCTAAATTGTTTAATCATGATATAATCTCGAACGAAATATGAATTCCTTATATATATTCATGTTTTTCTTTACAGTTCTGAAACATTTATGCCAATGGCCATACAAAATGCTTACAGAACAGGAAAGCCGGTAAACAGTGACGTCATTCATTATACAGCACCACTATATAGCACTCACAGTACTGCAACGGCCGAGCTCATGCAATGGGGAACCATGATAATTTTCGACAATTTGATTGGTCACTATGATAGGTATTTTTGAAATCATTTCAAATCAATGCAAAAACAATTCTATTACAATTAAAACATAAAAGAATTCTTAAAAATGGTAGATTTCTCGAGCGTATTGAACACAAAGTTTAAAGTTAACAAAAAAATGCAGACTTAGTTTGATTGAATCTGTTCTTACATCCCTTAGATTCGCGATTATCAGTACACAATAAAGTATTGGATTAATGATCCCGAACGAAGTGAAGTTCGGGGCATATTTACAGCTGCAACACAACACTGATGCCTGTTGTGAGTATAAAAATTTTAAAGTAATCCCCCAAATAAAAGAAACATAATTATTTATACAACAGGTATATATTATTAAATGATAGTAGCGTGCTTTGATTTGCATCATGGTGTGTTCCATAAGAAAAGTATATACTTGGAAAAAAGAAATATTGATGTAATTACTCTGAAAGTGATATTTCATTTTAAATAACAGGTTAATACTTTATCAACCAGTTGGAAAACGTAAAATTAGTAGGCGAAGTATTACTAGTGGTTTATACAACAGCTTAAAGTCGCCAAATGGGAAAATATGGCTTATTGACAATGAATCTGCATTCTTCTATCAAAACAAATACAGAGACCCTGCTTACAATTACATCCAATTACTCAACTTTCATGATAAAATGCTGAAAACTATGTGTATATTTCAATCATCTCTTGTGGTGGAATTAAGAAAACTTTCAAACCTCCCTTCGCCTTTTCACCATCTTTGGATGTATGCCAGTACATTTGAGCCATTATTTGTTACTTTCAAGAAAGACTATCGGTTCAATGAATTCGCTAGATTTTTTAATAAACGCCTTGATGACATCATTGACTGGATAGATCATTGTAAAGCTTTGAGCTTTGAAAAATGAAGGCAAGCAGAAATGGAGACAGGAATTTCAGTATTTGACAGTTTAACTTTCACTCAAAATTGTAAAATATCCTGAACAAATTATCTGACTTCTTTCATCATGTTTATCATTGTAAAGTCAGAAGAGACATCATTGATGATGATGGTCAATATCAGATGACTAACAGAAAAGAGCTTGACATGGATCATGTTGAATTTCAACTATTAACTGTTAGCCCGCGTGCGTGCGTCCGTTCCAAAATGTTGTGTCACGTGTTGCTTTAAAAGTCCTTAAGCTAGAGTCAACAAACTTGACAGTAATGTTGATCAGCATATGACGTTGTGCACCTGGTGTTGGATTGATTCAGTTTTGAGATAAGGACTTATTGTCCTTGATTTAGTAAACACTGCAATTTTCAGCTCTAAAAGTATTTGACCTCGAGTCATGTAACTTCACAGAAATGCAAGCATGTGTAGTTTTGAACCTGATGTTTTGCTTGCATATTTATTTAGTATTTATAAATTGCCCATAACTTAGTAAAACCATTCAAAAATGTTGGGTCACATGTACCTCAAAAAATGCTTGAGCTAGAGTCAACAAATGTACAGGAATGTTTATCAGCATGTAAAGTTGTGATTTCGCGTTCGGTTTTTTGTTTCAGTACATTAATTGCCTGTTACTTTGTTAAAAATGCAATTTTCAACTTGTGCCGAGTCTTACTTAAATGTTTTTGACCTTAAGTCAATAAAACATTTCATAAATGTTTGTCAGCATGTGTAGTTATGCATCCGTGTAGGACGATTGTTCATAGGGGGTTTACGTGTCATGAAACAAATTTATAATATAACATGATATAAACAGTGTTACAGAATTTAATATTTCTTTTATTGTGATTCATTTGTACAAATAGAATTGTAAATTATGAAGCACGCCCGTTTTAGGAGTTAGAACAGACTGAGTGGCGACTGTGAGTAGATAATTAGCGGCACAAACCTGCACAGTTATGTTTTCAGAATTATGTTTTGTGTAAATGACTCCTGCAGAACAATACTGTGTGTATGTGAATGTAAGAGCTAAGATATGTTATCAGTATGTTTAATTAGCAATAGTTCATAATAACTATATAACATTAAATAAAATTCACAAATAAAAGTTAATGTTATGAAAAATATTGTTTCTTTTTTTCCAAATCTGTAGACAGATTGAATAATACGAATGACTTTGTATTCACAGTATTATATGCTCATGTTTTTTTGTGACAATGTTTAAATAAGAGCATTTAAAAAAAATTCCCGATGCATGAATATTAAGTAACAGAAAGAGCTTCGGAACACGAGGGTTTGTGATTTGTACGAGGGGACATAGCCCACTAGTATAACTCAGATTGCCAAGCGATTGATGTTCTCATTGGCACAAATAAAATAAAAAAACACTTTCCCTGTCGTCAGAATATGCAACCTCAGAGTAAATGAACCAATGTAAGAGCAAATGCCTTGCAACTTCAAATGAAGAAGCAACAGTTCTTGCCAAAACGTTCTGTAACTCCTTTAGCTTTCCTTAGTTCTAACTTACTCGTATATTAACATAAAATATGTTATCCTTATAAAAACGAACCTGTGCTATGACCACATGTTACAGGAACGCTAAAATATAACATAAAAAATAACATATATTAGCATGATTATAAAATGATTGCATTGCAATGTCAACAATGAACCAAATAAATAACATAATATACAATATTTCTTAACAAACTGGTATACAACATGTACATAATATGAAATATCATTTGGCTTAAGCAGCATGTCAAGTCAGCTGCCTGCTTTAAACAAATATAGATAGAGCCGTCTGAGAAGAGAAAACCTAGCTTTCATGACCTCGACAAATATATATTGTAGAGGAGCATATCTAATTGTTGGCGACGCCGGTGAGCGGCGTCGTCTCTTATGGAATGCTTTTTATTTTGGCCTATGGAAGGAGCTGTTATTATTTGCAGTTAATGTCATGTTGTGTTAATTAGTTTTATTTCGATTCGTAAAAATCAAGTAAACAAATATGTTGTTATATTTGTATTTAATAACTTTATGTAAACAGCATGTGCATTGTGATATTATTTTCACGAAATTGCAGGCTCGGTTTAACAGCTTGTCCCTTAGCTTTATTGACAATACTAAAACCCGGATTTCGAATATCGTTGTGGTCTACATTGATGCCGTATTCGTTTTCATTCATTTACATATTTTCAAAAATATTTTTCCTACAAGAAGAACGTTCACCTGCAAATGAGTATTGGGATTGGTAATAGAACTGTTGTAAACGATTATCCTATTGATTTTATCCATATTACATTTATCTATTGCACAGAATGATTGTTTTTTCAAAGTGTACCAGTATCCGGATGTTGAAAGCTATCCGAATTTATGCAATCACTGCTGTCACATGGTCATCTAACTTTTTATGAATACTTTACCATTACTTTGCATGGCTTAATAAAACTGAGCCTGCAACATTTTATAATTTTGCTGTTTAGGGCGTTCTTTTGGGTTTCAGGTTTTCTCTATTTTCTTTTTTAAGGGGAAGTAATTCAGGATTACTAAAATATTTGGTCTTTTCTGTCTATCTTAGGTATAACTTACTTTTTTTGTTGTATAAAATTTACCAGTTGTAAGCTCATCAAAAGCATAGAGGCCCTGAGGAGTGAAAATTGATAGATTTTTTTACTGGCTTTATATACCATAGACTGGATTTTTCTAGTCTGTTCAGTTAGTACATACTTACAGTTATTTTTGTTACAGGAATCTTCTAATCACTACGTGAAACTAATTATTATTTTATATTTGTTTGTATATAAATTGTAAACAAAATCATAAAATGAAAGGTACATGTAGAAAATAAAGCTATGCATATAGGTGCTCATGTCCATATATTAAAGCAGAGAAAGGATAACATCCTGAAGTTATCAATTTTAAACACTTGATATATATGCAGTTAATTATATAGTAAAGTCTAATGGAAGATTAAAAGAGGGACAGTATTTGTTACTGTAAGAGATATGCATTTAATGTTTAGACACTCATACAACTCAATTTTTATTATATGATATAGACTATTTGATATTTTTTTTACTTTTAGCAATAGGATGTTACATTTATTTTTAATGAAAACTGGGAATTATTAATGTAATGTGCATACATTTGTATCTAAGTATATGGATATGATGAGACTTACAATATTTCTGTATCTAAAGAGTTACAGTTATGATGGATGAGACTTGCATTTAAATTTATGAATGATAATACATGTATTGATAAGTCTACAGGTTATAGGTGTTTCTACCCAGTGTTAGCTGGCTAATAATAGTATCTATAATAGAGTTTATACATTATAGTTTTCTTTTTAAATTCCATCCATTACTAACAATGTTATTGTTAATGTTAGGATTTCATATTTATTTAATAGAAACTGGGAATTATTAATGTTATGTGCATACAACATGTATATCTTAGTATATGGATATGATATGACATAAAATAGTTCTGTATTTAAAGAGTTACAGTTATGACATTATTACTAAAGGGAGAAGACTTTCATTTAAAGTTATAAATGATAATACAAGTATTGATTGAAAATGCCCTTAAACTTGGATCAAGCAATATAATTAATAAAGTCTCACAAAATCATATTCTTAATTGTTATTCTAATTTTTTTCTAACATGTGCATAGTTTGAAAAGGACAGTTCTGTCTTATCAATGTGGAAAGGAGGGACACCGGTCTCTACCTTCAGGTCTCCAGAGTCGGCCGGACAACAGACTTTTCATAGAGTAGATTGTTACTCGCACTAAAGTGGGTGATTCATGCCACATGAAAACCAACAAAGTACAAAAAGTGACCGGGCGCCAAATGAAAACATGAAAATACAATCTTCCACAACATAGTTCGTTTGTTGTATTTTTATGTTTTCGCCCGGTGCCCCCTGATGAAATATACAAATCAGCCTTCATAAAATGTCTTATCATAGAAAAAAGGTTAGTTGTTTTACCTGTACAAAAAATTAGATATTGTACATGTATTAGTACAGTTATGTTCACTTTCAAATTGACAGGTTATAAATAATGGCACAACCAAATACTGTCGTAGCCCTTTTTTAGTAAAATTAATTATACAATATATAAATTGTTATTTTGATTAAGACATGGGTATATAAGTTTTTTCTTATTTGTTTTATTTAGAATTAATCTACCTGTTAATTAAAAAATCTAAAAGTATCTGTCAGGGTTTAGAACTGTTCACTATTTAAGGGAGAAAATGTGTAAGCGGCCAGATAGCTCAAATGCTACAGCCACGGTACATTATTCTGTGGGTCACAGGTTTCAATCCTGGTCAAGCTGAAAGTTTTTCTCATCCTGTGCTTGCATATAACCCTGAGTTTACTAGTAATTCACTATGCTCTGTAAACATCAGAAATTCAAGGACACAAATCATTATAGTGGGAAAATATGTTGTGGCTTAGAACTGTTCATTATTAAAGAGAAAATGTGTAGCCAGCCGGATAGCTCAATTGGTCTTCTGACAGTCATGGGTTCGAGTCATGGTCAGCAGTTTCAGTCAGGGTTTTTCAACTGACACATGTTTGGTTCATTTAACAGATTGTATTAAATTTGAAATGGACAAAGACCGTATTGTATGTATGATACTTTTAGATCTATAAAAGGCATTTGATAAGTTGATCATATTATACTGCACATGAAGAAGTTCTTCTTCGTCTTCTTCATGAAACTTCAAGCATCTGCCAAAAGTAATGACATTCGTACATGGTTCAAGTCTTATCTCTGATGGACAGCAGCTGGTGGATGTGGCTGGTACTCATTCTTCTACTGCTCCGAGTACCTAAGGTGCCCCCCCCCTAAGGTTCATTTTAGGTCCACTTTTATGTCTAATATATGCCAATGACATTGTCTGCAACCTTAAGCAATAAGCTTTTTTTATATGCTGATGGCTCAGGTATCCTTGTATCTTGTAAAATAAATCTAAGAAATTCTCTCTTATGGCACGAGTCTTATAAGTGATTGGTTAATTGACTATAAATTGTCTTTGTATCTTGACAAGACAGAGTCTATTATTTTTGGTTTAAGTTTCAACTTAAACTTGGCCTAGCCTCCAGGTCACATGTAATGGTACCGCTATAAAGTACAAATATTTTGTTAAGTATTTAGGCAAATGTTTTTGGCGTCGCCTTTGATGCTTTGCATCAATGCTTTTCTTGTACATTTCTTGGGTTATTCATCCAGTCTAAATATCAGTATATTCCTATGTCGGCTATAAAGAAATCCCATACATGATGCCGTAAATGGTACTGCTTTGTACAAAAGTTCAAAGCATGAAATTCAAACAGGTTTTAATTTGTTCTGTATACAGACGCGACAATATGTAGGTTCTTACAGTTACAATGGTTTTGATTAAAAACAAAACCTCACACAAAGATAATTTTATATCGATTGTGGAATATTTAAGCTGTGACATTGGTGATTTTTATCTAATGTTATGGTTATTACCTGAGGGCGAATTTTTCTTGACATGCTTTATTTTACGTCAGCAACATTATTGTCTGTGTTGAAAAGTTTTAACAAGAAGTAAAAGACATGAAATCATGGACTTTTATTCCACATCAAATATTATATTGAAATTCAAAAGATTGGAAATTCAACATGACAATTTGCGGTCTCTTTTGAAACAAAAATTCATATCTAAATGTATTTGAAAAACGCATGAAATGCACAACTGCTCTATACAGGTGTCAACTGAATCATTTCTATAACTCTACGATAATATCAGATTGAGATCACAAGAAATAACTTCCAAAATCTTTTCCTTAGAACAGTGGTAATATATTGAAGATGAAATCTTTTGAACTATTTTGAAAACTTTGCTAATTCATGTGAACAAATTGATGACAAAATGTTTGTTGAAAAAAACTTGTTACGAACTTTTTATACCTAACAATTATATTTCGATTTAACGTATTTCACAGCAATTAAAAATCCAATACACACTTTAATGTCACGTTGAAATCACCGTTTCGCAATGAGATTTCACAGAAATATACGCTATGGGGAACCGAACTTGGATTTTACAAATCATGTTTTTTTCGGTCGTTCCGTACTCGGTATTGATTTCTTTACGAAACTCAGACGTCTTGGCAATTACAGAAAGGAGTCTAATTAACATTGAAAAAGAGGATCTCAACGGAATTGCCAAAACTAATGATAATAAAATAACATCGGCAAAAATTACTGATAACAATAAAACTATCGTGGTTAAAGATATCGAAAGAAAAAGTATAACTTTAATAAAGAATGGAATCTTCTGGTCGGATTACGCAGAATCGTGTGTGCCGAAAGGTAAAAGTAATTTTGAAATAATGTTTTTTTAAAAATTAATAACTAGTGTCATTTAAATTAGTCATAAGTAATTATAAACATGTTGTTTTTATAGCGAACTTGGATATAGCGTATACTCGGATATGAGGAACATTATAACAATGTTTCACTGTATAAGAAATACAATAATTTTTTTATGCTTGTAAAAATTATTTTTTGTTGAGTTGAAATCGATTTGCCATTGTTTCTAAGTGTCAAACTTTGGTACAATGTCGGGACAAATTTTGCAAGCTTTTAGTAACCTCTTACATTGTATTTCATCACAAACATATATATCATTTACAATTTCGAAGCACAAAATACTTTTATAATTTTAGGATCATCGAAAAATGATAGTTTTATGCTAATTAAAAAGTTGAGGTCACAGAAAATTAACACATTGAAAGAGGGAACTACTTACATGTGTGGAACTTCAAAGGGTGGCATTGTGACATTGCAAGATGGTACAATAATGTGTGCTAAATATAAGAGAAAACAACGATCGGTTTATGGTAAATACTCATCTAATAATCGTTACAAATCGATAAACCATATTTAGGTTGCTTTTACAAAATATTTTAATATATAAATATCTTATAATTGTTGCATGTATAAATATAATTTCAATATTGTAGGAAAATAATTTGTTTTTGATATAGCTTTAAAAGACTTCGTTATTCTAATAATAATATTGCAATAAATTGTTCATTTTCAATGTTATTAACATGAAATAATATACGAAGAGGCAACAGTTTATCTGGAAAGTCGAAATGTAACCTTTTCAGTCATTGCTACTTAAAATACAACAAATTAAAAAAAAGAACAAAATATTAAATTTTAATACTGTAACATTATTAAAACGACTTGGACATACCTTTGTCTAGGCAAACAAAATACTAGTATACCGTTCCCTAAAGATTTGGTGCTTGAGATAAGAAAGGCAATACTCAAAATCGTCAGTTTGCTCATTTGTACAATCTTCTACAATTAAAGCTGAAGTTCTGTCATACTATCTATCGCGGCTTCTTAATATGGATAACATTCCGGAGGTATTTCTTGCACGAATTGATCCATCCTCACCACGTTGGAAAGATGTTGACCCTAGAAAATTGTCATGGGACGAGGACGAAATAATTGCTTTGGTGACATGGCAGAAGAATTGCAAGTAATTTGGTTTTTACTATTCAAAGTATGATTGAATGTTGTCAAACATTTCGTGCGACTTATATGTTTGTTTGATGTAAACTTATCCTGTTTTCAGATGTCATCTCAAAGCTCGATTGTTTGTTCTGCAATATAAATCTTACTATAGAAGCACACCTCGGTTAAACATTTACTTTGATAATTGTTGCCTAGACTAAACAGTGTGACCCAAAAGTATAGTGAAAACGTATTTATATATTGTTTAATGAATTGTAAGAGAACGTTTAGAAGGTATAAGTGTCATAAAAGTATTTCTGTTGGTACATTGTCTTAAAGATGAGTTGTTTGAAATGTTTAAGTTGTTAATTTTTATTTCCATGTCGGCCCTTTATTTCATGTAAGGAAGCTATCCAGCTAGCTTACGGAACATCGGTGGTTCTACTAAGGTACCTGTTTGTTTCTGAAATAACGCACGAAGGAGCATCTGACGAGATATTTCTTAACCAGTAAAGCTGGAAAGTCCTATGACCTTTACTGTGTGGTGAGACGTAAACCCCCCACCCGAAAAAATGTCTCCTCAAAAAAGTATAATAAATGTCAAACAGATATATGCCTTTATCAACTTTATTTTGATTTCATCCCCTGCCAAACAATTTCGACTTTCTCGTAGAATCTTGAACAAGTTGACTACATATTTCATTCTCTTTTTCATGTTTTCATACAATGCAAATCATTTTATTGCAGACTCAAAACACTCATGCCAGCAACTATACGAGAAGCTTACTTTAGACAAGAAACAATTACAAGCAAGTTAATAAACAGCTCATGGACACTTCAAAACAATCCTGGCATGCTATCTGAACTTATACAATGGGGAACGATACTTATATTTGATGATTTAATTGGCCATTTTGACAGGTAAAAATAATATTGTCTTCATAACTTTTCGTTTTTTAGTTCCTGAAAAACACATCTATTGCGCTAGTTGTGTAATTTAATATGTCCTTTAAAACTTGTAATTATTACTATCGTAAAGATTTTTAACAGGGATGCAAACAAGTCAAATATTTAGGTGTGTGTCCTTGTTGCAAGGAAAAGGGGTAAACAATATCTAAATACTTTAATTAACATACGTAAATGATGACCATCATCAACTATCATTCTGGGTATAGATAACTTTATATATTTATTGGTAACTAAAAAAAATCGATGTCTAGACACGAAACAAACAAATAAATAAAAGCAGGCTGACAACACATATCAATCCTCTTTCAAATGATTAATATATAAAGTTGTTTAAAATATCTTTTGACAGAGTTTAAAATCAGGCGATTAAATTTATTCATTCATTGTCCAAACAGAAATTGCAATTACCTTTTCGTAAAGTGTTTTCAGACTTAAGACCGATTTGGTATATGTTTTATCGCAGTTGACATTAAGAGAAATATCTTTTTCAGATTGGTAAGAATGCAACCCTATGGTGATGAGAATAGATATGATGTCCATGCAGACAGCTTGCACAATAGTGTAAAATCTTCAAATGGTAAGATATGGCTGATTGACCATGAATCCGCATTTTTCTACCGCTACAAATACTTTGACTCAACGTATAACTACATTCGAATAGTTCCATTCTACGACAAAATGCTCAAAACAATGTGTATATTTCAATCTTCATTCGTAGACGGACTGAAGAAGATTTCAGAGCACTCCTCAGCATTTGAATTTCTTTGGGAATTTACATTATCACATGAACCATTAATGCGAACCATATCAAAAGAATTAAGGTCCAAAATGTATGCTACTATATTTGATTATCGACTAAATCAAATCATGGAGTGGATTCAACACTGCAAAGCTATAAGCATCAAAGAAAAGCGGTAATACTTTCTCCTGGTGTCGGTATAGACATTTTTATCAGTACATGAAATGTGCTTTTCGTAAATGTACGAAACATGCTTTCAATCATTAAAGGTTAGAGATTGGCTCATGATTTGAAAATATTAATTAAGAGAACATACAAATACTTTCTTCATATTGGATAAACGACATCACTGTAGTATGTCTTGCTTTCCTATACACTTCATTATGTACGATGTCACGTACAGCCCTATCATACCGAGTCTGAAATTTTTATGTAATTTTGTTGTGATTAATGATTCCTAGGGATCACTTTTTCTCCAGATTATTATACATTACACATAGCAGATGTCAAGTGCCGTTTGGCAGCTGTTAAATGTTGCCCCGTACTTCACTTCGGTGTTGTTATATTTGTTCTGGTCCTTAGGGATCATTGATTCCAGCACTTTTAAGTATTGAAAATTGAATGCCGCTTAAGCCGGTGCTGGGGAGCGTGATGGATGTTGCACTGTTTCGTCATTTCTCATGTACGAACTCAATTAAACCGAGTCTGCAATTTGCATGTAATTTTGTTGTGATTGATACTTCCGATGGATCACTCTTTCTTCAGATATTGTTTTATTACAATGATTTATGCACCTTTCTAGCACTGTACCTTTCTAGCGAGTATATATATTTTAACTTGTACCTTTCTTGTTAAAACAGGAAGTAATTTCGTTTAGCTCCTGTGTTCCTTATTGTTTTTTGATAACAAGTACAAATGACCTCGCGTTATTATGTTATAAATTGTCTTTAAAACAGTTCACACGTCATTCATCTTTAAGAAAGTCATTGACACTTTCTTTGAAAAAATATTGAAAAATTAAAATAACTATAAAATGTATATGCGTAGGCTTTTATTGACCTCAGCTTAGAAGCCATATCATTATTCTGAAGTTGTTAAATCTGTCACATAACCTTTTTATCACCATTTCAATCCATTTAGTATTGAATGTATCTTAAGGCGGTGCTAGGGGGCGTCACAGATGTTGTATTTTTCATAATATCATAAACAGACCTTTACACAATTTATATACTTCATTGGCCAGTTCACATATATTGTGCCTATTCCATCGTTTATATCATATTCTGATGTGTATTTATCATCATGAATTTGTTTTATGTAGAAATTTTTTGTTTATAAAAAGAACGGCTTAAAATTTGATTTGTGAACAGTTGAAACTTTAAATCATTACATACTGAATTACGCATTGAGTAACATATTGTAGCAAATATATGTATATGTAGAATACAATTTGTTCCAGAAAAGGTTGTTTGAGTAATATCAAGTAAGATTACACAACTTGTTAGGCGTTATAAATGTTCACATTGTTTTGTGTGTGTGTGTGTATGTGTGTGTGTGTGTGTGTGTACGCACGCGCGTGTGTATGCGCATGCGCGTGTGCGTGTTAAAAGTTAAGAAAAATGCAATGCATGCTAAGAAATGTTTTGAAATTATATAATCTTTTTATTGTCATGTTTTTAAAGAAGCCTCATTTTACAAATTTAGCATTTTATCTAAAAGATTATTGTAGAGTCATTATTTTGTCAGTATTTTTGTTGTATGAATAGGTGTATAAAGACACTGCTTATAGTTTTGCAGTTTTAGTAGTTGCCTTAACGACATGGTTTACTTCCCTTGTCTTTACATTTTATATCAAAGGCCTAGAATTCAATATTTGAGATTGGTATAAATTTCGCACTTTTTATATGTCGCTATTATATTTAGTTTTGTTTAGGACGAATTTGAAGTGCTTTATGTGACATTTATTGCCGGACTACTCTAATGTTCATTTTTAACGAAAAAAAACAAAAACAAAAAACAAAAAATAACAAACAAAACAAAACAAACAAACGTAATGTGTATGATTTCTCTGTAACGATACGGATAAATTGTGTTTTTAAAGATAGCATGTTTACTATAACCTCAACAGCTTATAGCTTAATAAAAAAGATAAAATGTCGATTGTTCTCATTTTTCCCGTCTATCCGCATATTTTTCTATAAAAATCAAATTGGAAATGTTATGCTCGAGGCCAAATTTCACCATCTGTATAACCATCCTGAAAAATACCGTAACGGATTTTAGATTTTTTTATAATATGTTCCATTTGACCCATCTTTTGCCTAACGCAGATTGCGCATGCGCGAGAAAATACTTCACCTGGTCAATTTTTATAGCAACAGACCGTGTCGTAAAAAGATCTGTATATGTTCCGATTCAATCATTAAAATAAAAAACGCCAGTATACAATTTAAAGCGAGGTTATTTTGTATTGTTGAGTGCAATACCTAATTTTGTTGCACGAGTACACAGTTGTCAAAATTATATGGGACAAATATCCATTTCACATGGACTTTTTGGACACTGGTAATGGAAACGAGACTAAATTGATTCAATATTGATAAATATTAGAACATCACGTGGTTCAAACGCTGACAATTCGTTGGTTTAAGGTGAAAAATAAGTAGTTTTATTAATGTCGTCTGAAACGAATAAAACAGTGTTAACAGATCAAACAAACTTTTCATAAAAGTGTACATGTAGTTAGATAATATGAACATCTTATCAGCAGCAATGAGGTTGAATCTTAATCACATTTTGCTTTTTCTTTTAAATTACTTTAAAGTTAACATACAAATTGCCATCTTTCAAGCGCTTTACAAGTACACAAATTGTTTAACAATGACTGAAAAACGTGATAGTTTAGTCTTAAACGTATATAAATACAATGTACGACTTTTTCTACGCGTCAGATAGACATATTACACATTAAAATAACGCTTTTAAATACATTAACACTTTATATTTGTCAATCATAATTGTACACTTCATGATGATCTATAAAAATGTCAAACGTTTTAAATTTATCGGTGGCCAAATAGTCTTCCGCTTTATAATCTGTACCGTGTATTAATGCCTGAAAAATACCATGTTCTCTTTGTAAAGGTATACATTTTATGCTTAAAACATTGTAAAATGTTTTAAGTTTGAATAAACTTATATTTATATCGTATATTTGTGCTGCAGTTGATTATAACATTAATTAACATTAATCATTTTCTTATATAGAAAAAAACAACAACAAAATAATAAAAATAAAATAAGCAAACATGATACAGTGTTTAACATACAACTATAAAAAACAGCTTATACATTACACAGAAAGAAATTAAATAACATTTGATTGATCACCATGAAATTTATGTAATTTCTCATCTTTATGAAACAGTTATTGTTTTAAGTAAAAAGAGATAAACGCACTGTTAAGGGTTAAAATAAACTAAGGTAAAATTATTTGTTTACAAAACTGGTAAACTGGTATATATTTTTAATATAATACAATTAAGTTACGGTGTATGACAAAGATGAACTTTTCTTCTGATTTATTTTAACCAAAATAATTAAATGAGGCGGCATTTAAAAAACAAAAAAAAGGATATAATAATCAAGAGAAAACAGGCTAAAGTTATGATATAAGAATGAAATGGTTTACAAGATAATAAAAAAACTTAATAAAAGAGATCACAAAATCAGACAGAACTAATGTCTTATTTTATTATTATTATCATTTTTGTGTGTGTATTTTGCAATCAAGAATATTAAAATTTAGATTTTAACATAATGCCATCAATTGCACAATCACATTTTCTTTCATTATCGCATTTTATTTTGTAAAGAAAATATTATGCAACTTTATATTTTCATAACTTCTGAATAAAAATCAATCATGTTTTTATAATGATATTATCGATTAAGCACTATTCATCGTTTACATGCCTTCATTCCACTCTTACAAAGAGAGTTGGATGACCAAAATGCGAATCGATCATTTTCAAATCGGAAGTCTCCTCGTAAAATGGGATTCGTTCTAACGCAATATTATATAAATCAAAACAAGTGTAAAAGTGCCTTTGAAATTTTTTTTAAAAAGGTTTCTTTATATGTTTCGTTAAATAAAACATTGAAAGGAGATGTTAAACAAAAGTTATATACTATCCCCGACATAAAAACGTCATTTTAAGCGAAAGTTAAGTTATTGCCTGTGTGGAAGGTTTGTACATGGACGTAAATAAATAACTTTCAAACTTAATTAACATGAACAGAGATGATTCATTTTGATAGATGATAGATGACAAAACAGATGGGGGACAATGTCCAAATAGCGAACAAACTTTGTTGTGTTTACAATGTCGGTTTATTTTCTGTAACACTGAGTTGATTATGAACATTGTTGTTTTGGTTAAGTGATCTACATACGGAGGTCTATTAATTAATTCTAATTGTGAAAGTTTATGAACGATCTGTTCATTGTAAGAAATGTAGTTACCTATTAAAACGCGTCGTTAAGCACATTAAATTTGTAAGACCTCTACGTAATTTGTTAAACGTTGAAAAGGCGAAATAACGATAAATAATGTTATGTATTATTGTCACAGTGTAGTTTAAAATGAACAGTGCCCATTGTCTTCTGTTGCTGACAAATGCGTTTTTGTGGATGTTACC